CTTTTGGCCCTTGCCCTTGAATCTTTAGGAGGCAGGCTCTCCTTCCCCTCTTTCTGTCATGCTATTGGCTTTAAGGATTAGTTATCGTGGTTCATATATTTTATTTATTTATATTATTACCCTCCTCACGTTCAGAAGATATAATTTATTATGACTTAAATGATGATTAAACTGAAAGCATTGTTGCCAATTTTCAATTTGTTAACCTCTCAAATTAGCTTCACATTCTAGTGTATGTAACATTGAGCTCTGCATTGCTTGAAAAGAAAAATCATAGTTTTTATGCGGATAATATTAAAATTAACATAAAAGTCTTGATTTATTTTCTTGGAAGATTTACATACCACTCAATTCTCATATATTTACAAATCTAACACATAAACTTCAATTTATATATATATATATATATATATATATATATATGTTTTCTTTCTCTGATAACTAAAAAGATTGCCTTCTAGTAAACAGTGCTGTGAGCTAAATCCCAACAGTAGAAATTTAAAAGTGAGATGCTCCACATTTTAGGCTCAACTGAAGTTGGAGAAAGCAGCTCTTTCAACTTGTTCATTGTTCTTTCATTTCTTGAAGAAAACTAATTTTTTTTAGTTGCGGAACAAGTCTTTGATTTTAAAATTAATAGTAAACAAGTGCTCGATTTTATGTGAAAAATATGATTTTTTTATATTTTCTTCAAATAAATGCAGGAAACACTCCCGAGATTGTCCCCTCGTCTTGGAGTTGAGTTCATCCAAAAGAAGATTGCGGCTGCATTAGAACAATAGGTTCATTTTGCAGGTGCTATTGCTTTACTCTGTAATTTTAAGTTGCAAGATGAAATCTGTAATTACCTGTCCAGAGTGGATGTTATTTGATTTTAAATCTGAAGGCAATAATTTATTTGCCTTATTGGTATCATTTGGAATAATATTAATGCCATTGTATTTTGCCTTCTCTGATTTCAACTACTAAACCAAACAGAAGCCATTACCTTTCGTGTTTACATAATCATGTTATTCTTCCCCCACTTTATCGGTGATTTTTGTAGAATTAGCTGCTCTGCTTGGGGTTTTTGCTTTTTTTTACGGTTGATTTGTAAATCCTTAGTCGCATGTTTGGTTGTTCATTGGTTAGTAAAAGGATAATAATTTTGTAAATTTAATTATAAAAATTTCGTTTGATGCCTTAGTGATGATGTTGGTGTTGGGAGACATAAATATCAAAAACTAATTCAAGAGATCTGAAGCAAAAGTTTGAACATAAACACGCAAAACAAGAAAACATTGGATTTAAAGTGAAAAAACCCCAAAACGGAGAAAAAATCACAAAGCCACACACACACCAATAAATTTATTATGCAAAAATGATTAAAATCATACAAATTACACCACACTCAAACCTTTTCACAATGTAGAATACTCATCTCATCTCCTTTGAAAAATAGATTTTGAAATCCAACACATTTATGTTACTAAAACCAAAACTTTAAATGAAAAATTTCTCAAAGTGGGTTACCGGAGCTGAGGCGCCGCAATGGGGGCATCAGGGCGTCGCGACGGTGGCATCGATGGACCGCGGCGCTGCATCTAAGCACCGCAATACCATGCTCGCCGGTTTTAAACTCGGTCTAGGTACAGAGGTGTTGTCTTCTGTGCACAGGGCCGCTGCTGGCCCAACGATGTGGTTCTCCTAGTGTTGTAGGCCCCCGAACCTAAATACAGCGTGCCCCTTCCCCCATGTACCCCTTGGTAAACTCACCGTTAAATTTAATCGACAAAATTTAGAACTTGAGTGAATAATTGATTAACAAAATCAAACTCCACAAAATAACATTTGACATTAGTCTGTCCCAAAAAAATTACTTCGATTATTAAGTAGTTTCTTGAGATTGTAGGAGGGCATTATGAGTTTTCTTATCGTGCTTGGTGCATCTATGGGAAAAAATCATCCTATCAATCCCTCTATTGCTTATTTTTCTATGTAGTTTGTGGCGACTTTATCCTCCTAGAGCAGTTTATCTTCTGCCTTAATTCCTCTAAACAGTTGGATTGTTTTATGGGCATGGAGAAAGGACACTTTTTTTCAAAGACTAGAAACATTGGTTTGCCATGGGTTAAGTGGTTTGGACACCATCTCAACTCTTACACCAATTACTCTAGTAAGAAGCAGCATGTGGAACTCTTGGTCTATTTGATTGTAGATATGTAGAATTTGGTTATATTATATATGTTTAGTAAAATAAATTCAATGCATTTGAAGTACTTTTTGGTGTTCGATTAATTGTAGAATAAATTTAGGAGAGTTTTTTTATTTTTTATTTTGATTACTATAAGCATGAACATTACTTTTTATTCTTTTCTTTTACTTTTTTTTAAGGCACAACAACATTAGGTGGGCTTATTGGCAATGGTGGATGGAATCAGAGGTCTGATGATGTGCTGGCATGGGGTGTCATCATGGGGTACAAGAGGTCAAAGGTCTAGCAAGCAACACGATCGTGAATGCAGGTTGTCGCTGGTGATGAAGTGGTGCTGGTATAGGTGCGGGGTGGTGTCAATGCAATGTAGCATGTTTGGATGTCTCGTGTGATATCTAAATGGGCAGAAAGCTTGTGAATTCTAAGTCATTCCAAATTGAACTTATTTGAGCAAATTCAGAATAAATTGAAAATAACTTGAGATTTCAAATTCTTTTATCAAATTACTTTGCATTTTTTTTTCAACTAAACATTTGACATTTCATTTTTTTTTTTTTTGCATTTAATTTACTCTACATGCATTTAATTTACT